GCTTGAAGCCCTCCCTTCGCTTCCACACTTTCACCCAAAACCTCCTTCTCCACTTCTCCTTCACTTGAAGCGACAGAGCGGCAGGAATGCCACAGCTCCTTCAACAAGTGCTGTGTAGAGCGCTGCTCTCGCCGCTTTGGATGACAGCTGCTTTTGTCGTCTTCGAAAAAGTCTTCTTAGAGCTTGGCCTTGCGGGCCTGGGGCGTCGCAGGGGTGTTTTCAAACGGATCGCCGTCGCAGTTTTGACCGACTGAGCTGATCAGGGACGGAAGACATGCCAGAAAAGTGTCTTCCTCGCGCCTCACAGTCCTTAGAGCTCTCAGAGCTCTCAGAGCTCTCCGTCTCTCTTCCCGGTGCCTCTCTGCACAGTTGCTGCAATGCCCGGATCTTTAAAGCTGGTCTCGAAGCCATCCTCGAGCGCGAGCCGGAGCTGGGGCAGCTGGGCTCACAGGGCTCGCAGGGCTCACAGGGCTCACAGGGCTCGGTAGGCCGCCTCTGAGCTCTGAGGTGTTGAGCCCGCCAGGGCCAGGGCCTGGGCCGGACGTTCCATTCGCGTGGCCTGAGCTCTTGGCGACTTCAGGCGTCACCGAGCCGCTCGGGCCTCGCTCGGGCCTCTGCCTCTGCCCGCCCGTGGCACGAACCGGCCCGTTCCGCTAGCTCTAGATGGTCTCCTTCAGTCCTCCCCCTATAAGATCCTACAAGCGTGAGCTTGATGGCACTTCAGAAGTAGACCACGAAGGCCTATAATGGTAGGAAGACCCAGAGCGCGAGATGGAGAAGCCTGTTGACTTCTGTTGCCGACCTGCAACTTCTAGGAGCATCCCTGCACTCAGCTCGGAGTGTCGCGCGCCCTTCAACTGCGCCTGCCGGGAAGGGCTTGAGGCTCCAAATCTGGAAGCTCAGCTGAGTCGGCTCACGTAGCTCGTGGCTCTCGCAGCCCGCGCAGCCCGCGCCCCGACTTGAAGCTTTCGTGGCTCGCCTTCTCGTCTGGAGCAGTGAGGCGGCAAAGAGGCAAAGCCGCACGCGGCGCTCTTTTCTTCGCTGAATCGCTGAAAGAAAAGGACGTCCGCTCGGTGAGCTCCAGGCGTTGACAC